CTCGCTGCCAAAACCCACTGCACAGGTTAACTCATCGAGCCCGTTTTGGGTAATGAGGAGCACTTTTTATCGCTGGGATACACAAGTTTTTGCCAACTGGCCTCCCACTGAGCGACGTGGAGCCGGTGTGGAGCTCCACAGGTAGAGCAGGCGGAAGCAGCCACCGGCCGGGTGGAGGTGGAGAGCACAGGGGGTGTTTTGGCCAAGAGCACTGGAAGAAAACACATACACTTACTGAAATAAATATCACGGGTTTGAGTGTTCTCCTAGACACGTGCAGGACAAGCATCAAGAGACACTGGCAGTAAACTTGATGATGCCTTTTCTCCTGTCTCCCAGAGCTCTGTTGCAAAAAATAGATCCATATAATTGCATAAGTTCTGGTGGAAACTATAGCAGTCATAGCCACTGTTTAAGAGGTATTGATTATAGGTTACCAAAAATGCTAATATCTGTAAAGGATGGACCAGGAAAAGGAGACCTTTTTTATCCATCTATCAAAATCACTCCTTTCCCTCAAAGAAACAAGAAGCAGGAAAAGCAGCAAGTGGTTTTCTCAGTCAATCCTAAAATATCAAAAAGCAATAGAGTCAAAGCACACAATCCACTTCTGTTCTGATAGGCTAGAGGTGGTGGTAAAAATTTGTGCTAGAAAGCTAAGAATTCAAAAGTACATTTTTTTTTCATTTTCCTTGAAAAAATGCCAGCTAAGAAAATCAGGAAACCCATACTAAGTGGAACTAACTAATCCCCAACAACTTTCATGGGAAGACTTCAACTCAGTGAAAAGCAGAAGAAAAATACTATGTGGGAATTTAGAAAGTGAGAGAAATACCTGCTTAAAATTCTGTCTGGAGGCAGAGACACCAAGTCATCTGAATTTGTATCACTTAAATTAGGAAAGAAGTTAAGGAAGTGAAGATACTTTTGAAACTCTCCTGTGGAACAGCGATTTCTTGACACACAAACCAGTTTCTGATCTCAAATGAATTCCCTTTCCACTGAACAGTGAGTCCAACCCTAGAAAAAAGAATCCCAACAGTGGATTGCTTGAACTTCCCTGAAGTGAGGGCCAAGAAATACAGGGAAAAACACTAGACTTGGCAGGTCCACAGTTTATCTACCTCAGAAGGATGAAGAGCTGAATTGACCCTGTGGGCACATAGGCCTGTTGTTCTACCAGTCTAGATATTTCAGCCAGGCTTAACCCTTTTGCTTCACTCATGTTACATGCTTATGTTAAGTGATGTTATATGTGTCTCTGATACCATATGCATTTTAAAGTTGCTGCAGGGAGCCCACGCTCCCAAGCCAAGGCCTGTCCCTTGGAAGTGCAGCTTTCACTCAGCGTGGCCATTTCTAGATGTTTTCCACTTAACTCAGTGCTTGAAACCTTGCTATTATCCTTGACACCTGAGCCTTGAATTCAGGGATCACCCTGACTCTACACATTACATCCATACATACAGATGTAGCTGCATCCACATCAGCCTGGACCACAAGCATTTGAACCAAGGGCCTCATATCTGCCATGTCTGCTTGAAACCTCCTCCGCCCCGAACTTCTGGCCATTTTGATCTACTCAAAAATAAAAGCTCCTTCATCTCCTTCCATGCCCTTGGCTGTGGTCAGAGGCAGTCACTGGCCGCCTTTCCTCCTTTTCCTGCATCAAGTCGGGTCCTTTTTTCCACACTCCAGCTTGGCACAGCTCCGCCTTCATTGTCCATCTCCACCACTGCCTCCACTCGCTTGTCTTATGTGTGATATTGTTGTTTTTACATGTTTTTATGCACCGTGCTGGCTGGTATCTTCTCTCTTCCTCTTCCTGGATGTCCTGGCTTGCTTGGGATGCTGCTAGGTGGTGTCTACATGCAGAGCTTGCACAGGACGGTTTCTGCAGGGCAAATTTTGAGTCCCACCAGGGAGGGAGGGAGCTGCAGACAGGGTGATGGTAACTGTATTTCCTAAGCATTGGAAGCCACAGTGATAGAGCTCAGCTCAGAAACATTATTCTCTCCTTAAGTTATCTCGTTATGCTATGAAAATACTCCAGAAGAGGGTTATATGGCAAATACTGGAACCTCAGCACAACTTGGGTACAAATTGTACCCAAGTTGTACCCACAATACGGCTACTCCGTTCCAGGGGGTAGGAACGGAGTAGCCCCTTTAAGGCTCTTCTCTGCACTGCCTAGATCCCGGCGAGACCTGCGCCTTTATTGCAGCAGGCATTTTATATTTAAGTTTGGGTTTTTAGAGGCGTTCTGGAAGGGTATAAAGAGCCCTTTTCACTGACATCACACCAGGCTTGTTATAATGTGAATGGCATCATTACCAGTGCTCTCATTAACATCATAATGGCTCTGGAGGAAGAGGGAGCGAAAGCGCCAGCAAATGGAGTGGAGTGGCAAGGTCTAGAAGCCCTACGGAGCCAAACTGCACGCGGAAGAAAAGTTTGACCTTTTAACCTTCAGGCTGTTGTGGATGCCTTGGGGTGTCCTCGCGCCGTGGGCGCTTGGCAGGCGAAGTGGGAAAGCTGTGGTAGCCAAAGGACCCAGCGCTGGGCTCGATGGAAAGAGCGTGCCTGGCCCCCGCGCCACCGGAGCCCACACACGGCTCCCAAATGGAATTTTAAAAACTGAACCCAGCCCCAAGTGCCAGCCTGTGGCTGTGGTTTTGTACAGCGAGTGCATTGTGCGCCCCAGGGTGCAGCCGTCACCTCCGCCTCCAGCGGCGCTGGTGGCAGCGCAGCACGGCGCGCGCTGCTCCGCACTGGCTCCCCGAGGGCGAGGCCAAGGCGGGCTGGAGGAAACCCGCCACGCACCCAGACACGGAGCGGCAGTGGGCTGCGCTCCGGGCCGGAGCAGAGCTGGATCCTAGTCGCGGATCTGACGCCTGGTCGCTCTGTGACTCCTGGGTAGATACTTGGGTGCAGATTCAGCAGGATTCACCGCAATTCCTGCGGAGTGAGGCTGGCGCGGCGGCAGAGCGCCGGGTGCTTCTGCCCCTACAGAAGCTCTGTTAGTTATGTTCGTTCTTATCCTATCTGAGAGCACAGCACGTGTGCAGGGACAGGGGGTGGACATTGCCTGGCCGGCCTCTATTAACTGCGCGTGTTCATGCAGCAGAAGCAGGTCCTGCACTTTGCCGGCTGGCTGGGGAACTCTGTCCTTCAAGACACAACAGCAGCACCGGGCAGGAGGCATCTAATGCTTGCTTCCTTCCTGTGTTTCTGCCTGAGTGCAAAAAGACCAACTTGCGATGAGATATGGGGGGAAAAGGCACAGTCAAAACCGCCCATTTCAGCTCTGCTCTCATAAAAAAAATAAAATAAAATAATCCACAAAGAGATGCTGGATTCATCATGAGCAAAGACATGCCGACTTCCCCAAAGCAGCCGCGAGTTCCTTCCAACCTGTATTCTCCCAGGCCGGGCGCCGGGGGCTGACACCACGCCAGCACGAGGAGAGGGATGTCTGGCTGCGCGTGATCCTTCCCTGCGGATTAGCGAGCGGAGGCCGGCGGTGCCTGCGCGGCAGCGTAATCTGCTCCCGCGCAGAGGCGATGGCTTTTCTTTCAGGGAAGCTCTTGGGCGGTTTGTTAGGGCCGGTCAGCAGACAGAGCCCTCGTGGCGCTGAGCAGAGCGCCCAGCGCGGGCGACACGGCCGTGGCACGAGGTGCAGGGAGCTCCCTGCCCGGCCGGCACCGCGGCCAGCTTCTGATGGGCCAGGACACGGCTTTAGGATTCCCTGAGTGGGTGTTTCTGCAAAAACAGACCCGGGGCCGCATGTAACGCAGGTGACCCGGGGCCGCATGTAATGCAGGTCTCCTTGCCTGCAAGGCCGGTTTGAGCTACCAATAATTTGGTTACAGGGAAGGGGTCCGTGCCCGCCTGGGTGCCTTGCCGGCGAGGCCGGGCAGCCTCGGCCCGCGAGGGGCGCGGGGCAGCGGCGCGAGGCTGGCGCGGGGGCAGCGCAAAGGCCGCGGGCGCTGCCGGCCCTTCCTCCGTGAAGCAGCCGCCCGGCGCATCCCTCCGGGGTTTAAGAAAACAATGGGCAGATGTGAGCGGTCCGGGTTTTCTCTTGCTCCTGAGGCAGCTTCTTTAAAAAAAAAAAAAAAATATATATATATATACACACATATATAATACATACACATATATATATATATTTTTTTCTCCATTTCCTGCACCCCCTGGCCATTAAGGCAAACGGCTGCGGGGCTCCCACCTGCCACCTGCGCCCCCCCCCCTCCTCGCCCTGCGCCCCCCCCGCCGAGGCTGCGCGGGGAGGAAACTCTATCCCGCCGCCTCGGAGGGAGCGGGATCGGCAGCGGGAGCGGGAGCGGGATCGGGATCGGGAGGAGGGGCGAGGCTGCGGCTCGGGTCATTGTTCCGCGGAGCCGCCGCCGCGGGGCCGCCGCCGAGCGGGACGTTGCGCGGGGCTCCG